AAAATTACATAAAAAATGGGATGTGTCATTTAGTTTGTTTGACTAATACGCCTTCCTCCCCTTGTCCTTTCTCTAATGTTTTCTTAAATACCACAACAAATCTACCATATCCATAGTCAAAAAACGGAACCATACAGTAGGCTCTGCAAAACGAAATACCCCAGCAATCTAGGGAGATATCCTGGGCGCCCGGGTCCTGACATCAGGCCCAGTTTGGCAACCAGGTGACCGGCCGGGCACAACCCCCGGGCATGGGCCCAGACAGCCCCAGCGCCAAAAAAAAAAAAAAAAAAAAAACTCCAAAAAGTCCAAACAAATCTAAAAAAAGAAAGTTGTGTAGAATTGTAATACAAACAACTTTTGGCTGAGGGCCACATCAGAATTCCTCACGGAACTGAAGATAAAAAAAAACAATAACCAAATCACACTAAGGCACCCCCCTTTAAACCCATTTAGTATTATACTCCTCGTCCCCCCCCTTCAGAGCCAACTCTCAAAAAAAGAAAAGAACCCGGATTTGGGCTCCTCTCAGAGAGCGTGGAATGCCCGGGTATCCCGGGTGTCAGACCCCCCGGGGCGTCACGCCCGGGTGACCGGCCGGTCATGAAAATCTGCCTAGCTTTTTATTGAATTTATTCTTAATTTGGTAGATAATTTCAGTGCGACCATGAGGCAAAAGTTGTCCAGCTTCTTATTATGCAATGCATCTGCATAACATAGCTTTATTTCAGAATTTCTCTGTTTTTTTTTTTTTTTTTTTTTTTTTTTTTTTTTGACAAGGACCTTGGCTTGCCCTAGACGTGTCTCGTGTACAAAAAATAAAAAAATTAAAAAAACTGTACGCGCGTACAAAGAGTACTACGCGAGTACTAAACTTGTGTTGTACTCTTATGTACGTGACCCACCAGGCAATCTACGGGGGGTCCGTGGGGCACCCCAAAAAAATAAAAAATCATGGGGGCATGCCGCTGGTCATGTACTACAAGAGGGAAAAAGAACAAAAAAGGTACTTTTCCATTTTTTGTAAATTAAAAAAAAAGTTGCATTTGTGGCCCTTCAGGCCCGTTTGGAGTCTTCCCCGCCTTCTCGTGTGTGTGTATGCGTGTGTGTGTATGTCTGTGTGTGTGTGCTGTCATATTCGTGTGTGTGTGTGTGTATGTGTGTGTATGTGTGTGTGTATGTGTGTGTGTGTGTGTGAGAGAGAGAGAGAGAGCTGCATACAGGAGAGTGGGCACTGTGTGTTTTGTGCGGATTTGTGTGAGTTTGTTTGATGGATGACTAAACCCCCATGACGCTGAGAGAGAGAGAGAGAGAGAGAGAGAGAGAGAGAGAGAGAGAGAGAGAGAGAGAGAGAGAGAGAGAGAGAGATTAAATGAGGTTTTGGGGGGGTATAGGGGCTTCAAGTACTCTGGCCGGGTTTGGGGGTCTGACCATGCCAGTGGCTGACGCACCCCGGTCCGCTACCAAAACAAAAACAAAAAAAATCCTGTTTTTTTGCAGGAAAACCGCCTTGTACGCACGCATACAACGCAGGGTTGCCTGTCGTACGCTTCGTATGCTCGCGTACAAAGCGTACAAAGCGTGCAATGGTACGCCTAGGGCTTGCCCGTGCCCAGCCGGGCTGCCTGGGCAGCCAATGTGGCCCTGGTGGCCCGGTTGGGTAGCATAGGTTTCTTTAACTCTTGTTCTTTTACTTTTTTCGGTCAGCCCATCTTTCTGCGGAGATGTCTGGCAAGATTAGGTTGTGATTGGTGGTTTTTGGTGGTTGTCAGTTTTTAATAGGGAAAAAAAAAAAAAAAAGGGGGCAATGGCCTCAAGGTTGTAATTGGGTGTGGTTCTGGACCGTTGTGCTACTTTGATGCATTTCAAATTCCAATTCAATCATTCGATGGCTCCTTCTCTCGTGTTCACTTGCGAGCGCGCGTGTATTGAGCTGCATTCTCTTGAGAGCGTGCGTGTATTGAGCTGCATTCTCTTGAGTGCGCATGTGTATTAAGCTGCATTCTCTTGAGTGTGCGTGTGTTCAGTGGAGTATGCGTGTATTAAGCGGTATTCTCTTGAGTGCGTTTGGACGGGCGTCATCTCTTGGACTGCCTGTTTTCCTCACAATTTCTTGAGGTACCATCGTGGAACTGGCCGGGCCCAGAGAAATATTTTAGCTCCATTCATCTAGTGCCATCTGGATTCGATCTCGGGTCTGCATTTCAACAGTTTCATGGTTGTAGCAACTGCGCTAGCCGAATTGGTGGTTTTCTGATGTTTTTTTTTAGGGAAAATTTGTCTGGCGCCCCTGTAATTTGCGATATTTCGCATTGCGCCCCTCCGACGACCGATTTACCCTGTCGCGCCCCCTCTGAGCAGGGTTCAAATTTTCCATAAGACCCTGGTGTCGTTTGGGCCTCAAATCTTTTCGTTTCTACCAGTACCAGCCCCTAATTTGCGGGATGCCCCTACCGGATGGCCGTTAAAAGCCAGCAGGAAATTTTCGAGATGCCCCTACCGGTACCATTTGCTGCCAAGCCATTTGCTGCTACGTCATCTGCTGCCACGTCATCTGCTGCCAATTCATTTGCTACCAAGCGATTTGCTACCAAGCCATTTGCTGCTACGTCATCATCTGCTGCCTCATCAGCTGCTGTCACGGCATCTGCTGCCAAGAGGGCGTCTGCTGCCAAGTCATCCACAACTGCCACGTCTTCTACTGCTTTCCCAGATGGGGCGGCTCCCTCTTCCGACAAACGAAAGGATGTTAGTGGTGGACAGTCTGAGTCAACGACGAGGGCAACGGCGACCTCTATGAATGCAAAGGCGGGAAAGAAGAAGTCTGGGACGAAAATCAGGGGGTGGGCGTTGGCTCTTGCGAGTCCATAGCTCGTCTCATCCGAAGGTTACGATCGACGGAAGAAGATGATGAAGGAGGAGAGGGGTGCTGTGATGGCGCTGCGCGCCTATGGCTGGTTGGTGGACTGTACA